AGGTAATTACGGGTAATTGTGAAAACTGACCTGAAACCAAAACTGGTGTTTCATTCTTCACCTTCCTGAAAGGCAAGAAAGTTCGACTGATTTGGTTACTCACAGGTAGGCTCTGGCATCAAAATTACAACCTAAAGTCAGGTAAACGGCTCTACAGTGAACAGAAAAGCACTTGAAGTACAAAGCAACAACTTTTATCAGTAGCCGTTTCAACTGTTTTCACTTATACTGAAGGCAGATGGAGAGGTCACCACAGAGATCTAGACCAGGGTTTCTTGACCTTTTTGACCTCGGGGCCCAATTTGTTGAACGTGAAGTGGCATGCGGCCCAGTCATACATTACCAATGTATGAATCAAAATGATAATTATTCTAAATCTTGGTTTAATTTTTGTTATAACTAAACTATCATAACTAACATAACTAAATTAAATACACTTACAGTTTAAAAGTAAAACTCCTGTCAAATAATCCCAAGACATGGTTATGACAAACATTTATTTTGTATTGTAACCTGCCCATAACAATTATTTGAACAAATACAACAGTCAGTCAACAGACCACTCAGGCTTATCGACACAAAAATAACCCATCCATCTATTCATCCATTTTCTGTACACGTTTCTTCCTTTCAGGTCGCATGGGTCACTGGTGCCCATATCCAGCAGTCACAGTGCAAGGGGCAGGGTACACCCTGGACAGGTCGCAAGTCCATCACAGACAAAAATAACATTTAACAAAAACAACAGCAAAAATAGACAGTTCAATAAATAAAATAGTGATCATAAAATAAATACATTCAAAAATATTTAATGTAAATGTTCCAAACAAAAATAAATAAATGAATAAATGAAAAAAAATTGTAATTTAGTGTTCCAAATTTGTGGAAACATCAGAAAACTACAACAATAATACTAATGAAAAATAATTGTGTAACTATAGGTGTAAGAGTGTTTTAACACAGACACAGAGTGCAGATGGGATGGGAAGTCACCACAGACAAGAGGTTTCAGATTCTACCAGACTGTGAAGATCTAATGATTTGCTGATGTAATGTCAAAGCAGTGTGCGCACAGGAAAAATGAGGCAAGGATGAAGGAATACGCAGTAAGTGAATCAGATCTGTAAGAATACACGATGCAGCTAAGCACTTCTCTGTCCTGTTTTCGCTCTCTGTGTAGAAACATGCTCTTGATGCTGTCATTTACTTATTCATGTCTATTTTTTTTCATAGCAGGTACTGCTCATCTTCGTGTCATTTTTGTCCTTTCAAAATAAAAGAAATACTATCTACTTTATATTATTAAAAGACAGAAAAGCTACAAAAAACARGATAAAGAAACAGACTTTTGTATTGTTGCCAGAAACTCGGCATGACTGTTAATACAGGACTGGTTTTGATGTAGGGGAGACAAAATGTGTGCTGACTCACTGATAAATGTGCTGTTTATACAATGCTTCAGCTTTTCCGTGGCAACCAGAAAATACTTTAAGGAAAGGAACATCACAGTTTTTCAGTTATATGACCTTTTTGWCTGCTTCTAACAAATTCTTTGTCTGATTGCGTACACCAGGGGTTCTTAATCTTTTTGACCTCGGGGCCCAATTTGTTCAACATAAAGTGACACGAGGCCCAGTCACACATTACCACACGGATCAAAATAAGTATTCTAAATCTTGATTTAAAAATATAATCATTCCAAATCTTGGTTTAATTTGTATTGTATTTGCATTATAACTAAAT